GGTTGGTAATGCTGGACTGTAGATTACATAAAGAGGGATAAAGTATATGAAGACTAGAAAATAAGGAAGTTGTGAAGAGTTTTAGGAACCAAAAATGATACTTTATTTTGATGCTGGAGATAATGGGAAGCTAATGGAATTTATTAGCCATAGGTGGAGAATGTTGAAAGGGAAATAGTATAACTAGATAAGAGCTTCTGGAAAAGAACTTTGGAAGCTGAGGGTGATCCACCCAGTAATAACTGAGACCTTATGAAAAAGGGAGGGTTTGGGGTGAAAGATAATGAGTTCAATTTCAGACATGATGAATTTGAGATTTTTCTGAATATTTTGAGAGGTGCAAAAAGCAGTGTGGCTGATGTGTAGATTTTTGATCCATTTGATTTCTAATGGAAGCTAATGAGATCACTAAGTGAGATTGTATAGAGGGAAAATAGAAGGGTGCCTAAGACAAAACCTTGGGACCTTCCCAAGTTAAGTGGATGTGACATTCAACCAAGCAGACTAGGAAAGAGTGGTCGAGGACACCAGAAAGTAAAGAGTAAAGAGTAGTCATTAAAAAAACTAACGGAGTGAAGGCTTTGGTTATATTTTAGAAAGAAGGCAAGAAGACTAAGATCAGGAAAAGGCCATTAGATTTGGCAATTAAGCTATTAAACAATCAAAGCAATAAGTTTCAGTGTAGTGATGAAGCTACTAGATTGAAGAGACATTAGAAGCTAGTGAGAAAATCGGAGGTATTGAATATAGATGGTCTTCTTGAGAAGATTAGCTGAGAAGCAGGGGGAGGGGGGAGGTAGAGTTAACTAGTGATGATGTTACATCATCAAACAAGTTCCATGCTTTTATAACTTCCTGACTTGTTTAAACTGAAATTTTAATAAATTCTCTTTTTTTTTTACAGCATGTGAATTTGAATAATGTCTCAAAGATTTCTTCCCATTACTCTAAAAATTCAAAGTTGACTCTGTATTTATACTGCTGAATAAATCTCACTATTACAATTAGGAATAAGAGGCAGCAGCAAATTTCCTTTTTAAGAACAATTTACTTTTTTAACTATTGAGTTTTACTAAAAAAAAATTATTATAAGGAATGATATTTTTAAAAAACTTAAGTGAATCTATACCTTTGTCCAAATTCTCAGTTAGATTATAAATTACTCCACAAGAGGGACTATACCATATATATCTTTTGTGTCCTCTATAAGAAATATTCAGTAAAGGGCTGAAAATGCAAGAGGCAGTCTTGAAGTGTTCATTGAATGATTTGATAAATGAGTGAAGATCAGTTTAATGATAAACATTTCTCCCATTTCTATTATTTTGATGTATCTTAAGAATGTTGTCAGATTTGTTCAAGCTCTACATCAGCATTATTTTTAACAGAAGAAAAATAGGTTCATTTTAGCACATTAAGTGCCACCCCATGTGTCTATAATTAAAACTGTGGAGTGAGTGAGAGTGTGTGTGTATGTATATATAATATGTATATATGTGTGTATATGATATGTATGTGTGTGTATATGTGCGTATGTGTGTATATATATATATACATACACACATATATGTAGATATCTACATATCCACAAATGAGGGAAAACTGTGCTTTATCAAATGAAACATCATACCATAATACAATTAAAAACAGTCAGCATCAGGATTATAAGGGTGTTTTAGTGAACTATGAATTCAGTATGTGTCAACATTGTGGCATGGCAACCAAGAAAGCTAATGAAATCTTTGACTATTTTAAGAAAGTATAATGTATAGGACTAATATCATCATTTGGGCACTATCTAAATGTTAGCTGCTGGTTTTTTATTATTTTAAATATTTCATTAATTATATTAATATCATAATTAATGATGATGGTGTTAACACCCAGTTCAGACTACATATTTAATAATCTATGTTCAGTCCTGAACACTATATTTTAGGAAGAAATTGGTAACCTGGAGGAAACCAACCAGCATGGGAAAAAAGGCTGGAATTTATGCCACCTGGGAACTGATCGGCTGAACTAGGGCTGTTTGTCTTAGAGATGAGTTGGTTGGGGTTTGGGGAGGAGCACGGGACCATGCTAGTTGTCTTCAGGTATTTGCAGGGCTGTAATGGGGAAGTGGGAATAGACATGTTTTGCTTGGTTTCACAGGACAGGAGTAATGGGTAAAAGTTGCAAAAAGGCAAATTTAGGATTGATGCCAGGGGGTGGGGGTGGGGGTGGGGACTTTCTAAAAGTTAGAGCTTTCTGAAAGTAGAGTGAGTTACCTCTGGTAGTGGTATGTTTCTTTTTACTGGTATAAGGTGGGAGGTGAGGGAATGTCCTTGATTGTAGGCTAGAAGACCACTTGGGGAGTATATTCCTTTTTGGGGGATGGGTTGGTCTAGAGGGTCTCTGTTGTTCTTTCCATCTCAGAGATTCTGTGATTTTGGACCTTAGGCTCTTCAATTTGTAAAATGAACAGATTGTTTGTTCCAAATGATTTTCACAATTCCTTCCACTTCTGCAAATCTGAGTTCCAAAGTCACAGCTTATATAGCAACATATACCACAAAAGATTCTTAGTATTTCTTTCAAAATAAAACAATTTTATACCATATTTAAATAGAATTTGACATTTAAAAATAGATGTATAAGACATAGCCCATTATGAATGGGCTATATTCCAAATGTTAATTTTAAAATCATTTGTTTATAATTTGTAATGCTCCTTCTCAGGAGCAATGTTACAAATGGATAGATTCTCAAGCTTGGCCATAGATGTCTGTAGCATAAATGTAAATATATAAATACATAAATGTAAATATAAATATAAGTGTCTATAATCTATAGTAATGGTAAAATGCTAACATTTGCAAAGTATTTTACATGTTATTTCTTTTATCACAGCAATCCTGAGGAGCACATAGGTAGTGCAAAAATATTATTATCCCCTTTTTATGATGAGGAAATTGAAGCACAAAGATTAAATTACTTTGCCAGTTGACATGCAGTTGGAAAGTACCAGAGCTAAGACTCAAATCCAAAGCTGCTAACTCTTAAGTCCAGTGGATGTTTCCATCTTAATAATCTTTACCTAATACAATAATGAAGTAAATCAGATTCTAGTACTAGACTGAATTTAGAGTCTTTGAAGCAGAAGCGTATATGGTAGTGATAGAGGTTCCAGGAACACATTATGAAAAAAAAAGGTCAAAAGATGTTTTAGTTTGAGATGGTCTCACAGTCAATTTGTATATTGCATGGCTACTTTTCTGGCCTTCAGTTCATTTTATATGGTTCCCTAGGACCTCAGCTATAAAATAGTGTAATGCTTGCTGGCTAGGTTAGGTTCCACTGCTACACTGAGAGTTCACTGTTCTGTTTGAAAGCTTAAAATTCGAAATGGTAGGATTTGATTGGTGGAAGTTGGCAGTATAAAATATAAGCTAAATAATATTCATTTAGCAAAAGAAATAGCCAGAAAGCATTGAGTTAGATTTAATTACATAGCTATGCAAAAGTATTATCTTTTTGACAGAGGATGGCAACAAAGAGGTTAGGTGAAAACAACTGGCATTTATCTGAATGACTGTGTTGTTGCCACAAGCCCTGTATTCTACTCTCTCTTGCCTTGCACGCTGCAGTCTGCTTGCATTTTTTAAACACCCCCTAAATGTTCTTGCTTATAAATAGCAGCTGGTTGTTTAAACCCTGGCTGTGTACTGCTAGTGAAATTAAATTGTGCTGCATTTTCAAAGCAAAAGGCTGACTAGCTAGATGCTTAATTACTGTTGAAGTGGAGTACCTGTTACTGTGGAAGAGGGCTCAGTGGCATTTTTTTACCTAAGGTTTCAGAAGCTGAGATTTTCAGATAATACTTCTCTGTGAAAGGAGTGCTGGTTCAGCAGTATCTTTCGAAACGTGGATTTGGCAAGAATATAAAGGCCACATCTTGTGTAATTTGTGGAGTCTTGGAAAACAATCTTCTGCTTTAGTTTTAGGGTGTCACAGCTGTACAGACTTTTATACTGATTTTTTTGTGCTTGTAGAACCTGACTACATTGTTTATTAGGAAATTCTCTCAATCTCTTCCTCCCTTGACTACTACCCCTTTACCTGCACTCTTTTAATACTTTATAATCATTCAATAAGGATTTGTGTGGAGAGCATTTTTGACTTTAAAATTTTGAACTGATGGGAGGTGAAGGGTGTGGTTATTGGTAGGAAATGCTTTTATTTTGTCAATGAGCAAAACATGTTAATGAGCGAAATATTTCCGGAATTCATTGTGCTGAACTAGGCATAAGAAGATGATTGCTGAAGATTTTTAAAAATATTCTTGTTTTGTGTAAACAGCAAAATAGAAATATGTAAAATAGAAACAGAAATTTATAAATTTTGAATTGTAGAGAAAGAAGCTACTATATTAAAGCTGATTATTTTTTTGAGGCAGAGTTATAATTTCATTGGCATAGGGTAATCCAAGTGTAGAAGCTTCCTCCATCAATGCATTTTTTAAATAATTTGCTCATATTCACAGTTCCAGTTCTAGGAAGGACTTGAATCAGGTCTTCTTCACTCCAACTTTGCCTTCTATTACCTAGTGCCTACTGATGTTGATTATTATATTCAGTTGCATAAATGTTTTTAGTCTATTCAAACTACTGATTATGCAATCATTTCATCTAATCATTTGAATTATATTGGTTATGTCTTATTTTTACATAGCTTAGCTGAGTTTTTTTGTCTTACAATATCAATAGTCATTGGAGGCCTACACCCTTGTTAGGGTAGTATAATTAATATCCACATAAGCAAGATCCTTAATTAATTTTAAATAAGATTTTTGTAAAATCTTGCATATATCTCTTTCCTTTACCATGCTCTGCAGAGGAATGTAGAACTTAATATGGGATTTATTCTATCTTTATTTTAATTTGTCTAGTTTGGGCAGTTAGGTATTGATTTTTAAAAGTTATCTGAAATTACTAATTCATGCTTTCCTTCTCTTCTAGGGAAAAATGATTGAATTGTGGAAGCTGCTGAATCTCTTGATGTAAACTCCACTCAAGTTTTCTGGAGAAGAGCAACCTGTTAAAATTTAGTACAGTAACTTTTATGGATTTTAATATATTTGAAACCTGAATCTTTAGTTTGCTGGTAGCAAGGCATAATTTTACCTCTTCAAAGAAAATGATCAAGGTCTCATGCAACCATTATTTTTTCTGGAAACTATTCTTCAGAAGGGAAGTATACATGTAAACAGAAGAGATGATCATGCTTCCTGTAGTCATTTAAGACTAAGCTCTTTTAAATCATGACCAGCTTGAAGCGGTCCCAGACTGAAAGACCTGTTGCCACTGAAAGAGCATCAATGGTTGGAACAGATGGGATTTCCAAGGTTCACACTGATGACTTCTACATGCGACGCTTCAGGTCGCAGAATGGCAGTTTGGGTTCTTCTGTCATGGCTCCTGTGGGCCCCCCTCGAAGTGAAGGTTCCCACCATATTACCTCCACTCCAGGGGTCCCAAAGATGGGGGTTAGGGCAAGGATTGCAGATTGGCCACCAAGGAAGGACAATGTTAAAGAATCTAGCCGTTCAAGTCAAGAAATGGAGACATCAAGCTGCCTTGACAGCATGTCCTCCAAAGGCAGTCCTGGAAGTCAAGGTAGTTCAGTTAACCTCAACTCCAGTGACTCTGCCATGTTGAAAAGCATACAGAACACTCTTAAAAGCAAAACAAGACAATCGGAGAACATGGATTCCAGATTTCTCATGCCTGAAGCTTATCCTAGCTCCCCTAGGAAAGCCCTTCGCAGAATAAGACAACGTAGTAACAGTGATATTACTATAAGTGAACTTGATGTGGACAGCTTTGATGAATGTATTTCACCCACATACAAAACTGGTCCATCACTGCACAGGGAATATGGTAGCACATCATCAATAGATAAGCAAGGGACTTCAGGAGAAAGTTTTTTTGATTTGTTGAAGGGGTACAAGGAAGACAAATCTGATCAGAGAGGCCCAACTCCAACAAAACTGAGTGAATTTTTGATAGCCAGTGGAAGCAAGGGTTCTGGCTTTTCTCTGGATGTGATAGATGGACCGATCACGCAGAGAGAGAACCTTAGACTTTTTAAGGAAAGGGAGAAACCACTTAAGAGACGCTCTAAGTCAGAGACAGGGGACTCATCCATTTTTCGTAAGTTGCGTAATGCCAAATGTGAAGGGGAACTTGGAAAATCATCAGACCTCGAAGACAACCGATCAGAGGACTCTGTCAGGCCTTGGACTTGTCCAAAGTGTTTTGGTCACTATGATGTCCAGAGTATATTGTTTGACTTGAACGAGGCAATTATAAACAGGCACAACGTTATAAAAAGGAGAAATACGACCACAGGAGCATCCGCAGCTGCTGTTGCTTCTTTAGTTTCTGGACCTTTATCTCACTCTGCAAGTTTCAGTTCGCCTATGGGCAGTACTGAGGACTTGAATTCTAAAGGAAGCCTCAGCATGGACCAAGGAGATGATAAGAGTAATGACCTTGTAATGAGCTGTCCATACTTTCGAAATGAGATTGGTGGAGAAGGAGAAAGGAAGATCAGTTTATCCAAATCAAATTCTGGTTCCTTCAGTAGTGAAAGTGCCTCATTTGAATCTACTCTTAGCTCTCATTGCACAAATGCAGGAGTGGCTGTACTTGAAGTGCCCAAGGAAAATTTGGTATTGCATTTAGATAGAATAAAGAGATACATTGTGGAACATGTGGATCTTGGCGCATACTATTATAGGAAATTTTTTTATCAGAAGGGTAAGTAGTGTTTTTAATTCATTTATTTTGCTATACTCATTCAAAATATTAAATTCTTTATATCAGTGGAGAGCTTTGGGCACTATGTAATGATAGAACTGATGACTTTTTCATTTTTCTCGGTAGCAAAGTAGCTCAGCAATCATTTCCTGTAAAAGCAGATGTGGGAATTTTTTTTTTATTCTTTCATAGTATTTAAAAAAATACATTTAGTGCTTTTTACTTTTCATGTGGAAAAATTCACAGATTGATTTTTAATGTAAATTCTCCAAATGGTAACTAAACGATTAGAAGTATTCTCTCTCTTAAGCATCTGTTGAGTAGGAAAATGCCGCCATGCCACTCTTAAGGATGTGTGCGGTTGTTTCCAAGCATTAAAAAGTTATTGAAAACATTTGAAACACCCACTTTAACTTTCTTGGCTTTTAATTACTTAGGAACAAGATCGAGCTCCCCATTGAACAAAAGTAGTCTGAAGATTGGTGAGATTATATTTGATTTGCTTGTTCTCAAATGGATTTTTGAATTAATACTGTTAGGGTTTTAGGCTCATTATCCTCTCACTCTGTATGCTAAATGAAATGAAATGATACTGATGAACTTAAAATACAAAGCAGGTTTCTTCCTTTTAAATCTATAATTGCAAGGTTTAGTCACACAATCGTGCAACCTTGTCTAGATATTTTTTTGTTAAAGAAAAACATTTCTTTTCCTTACTTTACTAAAAAGCAAAACGAATTGTAAATACTCTGTAATAATCATTTTGATTAGAATTAAGTAACAAAAGACTAAGGTCTTACCAATTTTGAGAAATTGTAGGAGGCTACTTTATACTTTTGCTTGTGTGTATACACATCTTTTTTACTTAATATGTTGACCAGAAATCTTTATTGCAGTCATATAAACATTGTCCTTTGACTATCTTCAGTCATTATTTGCAGTGTCCAGGATGCTTGTACCTATTTAAATAACTTGTTGTTTTTCTAGGCAAGCTATTTTGGAACAAGAGTCTAATTCAGATATGATCTTATTTGAATGTATTTTAACTTCAAATTTCCTAGGCTGGAATTTAAACATGAAAGACGTTGTCTTAGAAGTATCTGCAGCTCATTTTCTAAAATTACTTTATTTCGTAATTAACTTATCTCTATGCTATTGCCTTGCAAACGTGGATCGTAAATGTAATTTCCATGCATTGGTCTTCTCCCATGTTGCTCTTCTTCTTTCTGTTATGATTTTTTTTTTTATCTTTAATCATTGTTCATTTATGTTCTTGTATGTAGGTAGGCACCACAATCCTGTGTTTCTGCTAATGTTTTTCCTATCCAAATCCATAACAAAATGGTTTTCCTTTACAATTTTGTTCACCTGCTCAAACATAAGTCTCGAACAAATATTTCCAACTTTAGTACTGTAGAAGGTCCATTATTTGCAGTGGGTATTCTCTACTCTGGTAATCATAACCCCTCAGCACTTGCGATGATAGACATCATGAGTTCTTTTATTTAAGTAATTAAATCATACGATGGCCTTTTGTAATGAGCTTCTTTGAACCTAGTTATACTTGTTTTTTTTTTTTTTAGCAAGGAGGCCATCTGTCCCTGAACCATACTTGAAATCTTTCTGACTCAGTGTGAACTTCTGAGATTGTGCTTGACTGTTATAGCCTTCAAAAATCTAGGGTTATCTTTATTCTGAAATGAAGCATTGGAGTAGGGCTGTACCAGGGTGAAGGCTGATGGGTAAAAGTGTACCCAAATAGTAAGGATTAATTAGGCAAAAAACAAGAGTTACAACTCATAAATAATAGAACTCAGAAGTTCTACCTTACACCCATTGTATTAACAAAGATAACAAAGAAAGAACATAACTATTATTGGAAGGGCTTTGTAAGAATGGGCACACTAATGCGCTATTGGTAGAGCTGTGTAGTGCTCCATACTGGAGTATAGTTTGGAATTATTCTCAGAAAGGCAGCAAAGTATGTACACTTATTGACCCAGTGATGGCACCAGTAGGCTTATCCTGCAAAGTGATCAAAAAGGGAAGAAAAGTACCCATATGTATAAAAATTAGCAATACTTTTTGAGTGTAGGAAGGAACTAAATACTAGACCCGTTAGTTAGAGAATGACTGAACATATTGTGAGCATGATAAAGTATTATAGTGATAAAAGAAATTATGAGAGGGATGGATTCAGAGAAACTTGGGAAGACTTATATGAACTGGTAAAGTGAAGCATGGTAAAGTGAGCAGAACCAGGAGAACATGTATTCAATGACTTTAACACTAAAATGAATGGCAGCTTTGAAGAGTTAAGCACTTTGACCAATGTAATAGTCAACCATGACTCTAGAGGACCCATCTTCTGACAGGGGAGTGATGGCCCCAGAGGTGCAGAATGACAGGTACATTTCCAGATATAGCAAATATATTGCTTTGCTCGACTGTGCTTATTTGCTACAATTTTGGTGGGGCAGGCAGTGGAGTGATGGTGATGCCACACCAAGAAAGAAAAGTGGCACCAGTGACCTATTTAAAAGAATGCGCAGCAAAGGAGAGGAGAGCAGAGGGAGATTCAGATAAGCAAGACAGCTTTGCAATTAACACGTTCAATTTATTTAATTTCTTTTTAAAGGAAGTAAGGTGGACATGGTGCTTGCAAACCTCTTTTTCTGTTATGTGAAAATGTTATTTGTTGGTGTTTGTCAAGTTCAGAATAACAATTTCTTTAAAAAAGAACATCTTCCACCAAAGCCTTCACTCTTCTCTTCATCTGCCCCAACCCGCTTTATATTTCTGGCAGCAGAAGTAATTTTCAGGAATGCTATTCTGTTAGGAAGTGCTCTCTTTCGATTCTAGGGTGTTTTATACTGTTCCACTTTCCTCATCCTAACTTTCAACTTCACTGAGTTGCAGTTTTGCACATGTAATTACATAATAAATCTTGCTGTAACACTGAAGTAACAGTCAACATAAGGCAGCTCCGTTGAGGGCCACATCCAAGAACATTTACTTAACTAGTGGGTCTCATTGTGGAATAGTCTCATATAAGTAACTATGCCATGAATCCAAACGATCTAGTGTTTATGTTTTATCCAATTCCTCTTTTTCAGCCTGGCCATCCAATGGCCATCTCCAAAAACCTACTTCTCATTCTTGTCCCTATTATTGATGCTTGAAAACACTAAGGATCCATTTATCCTTCTTTTCTTCTATATGCTTTTTTTAGCTCCCTTACCTGGCAAGTGACAGTCATGGGAGCTAAAGAGGTGTACAGAACATAAAGGAAGCCAATTCACCTCCCTTTAACTTGATATTGATTCAGGGACAGAGCCAAATGCCTGCTACCTTCATTTGTGAGGCCATCTTTAATGTATATATTAGAATGTATATATTTGATTTGTATATTAGAATGGTTTTTCTGTTGTTTTAGTATAGTGCTCATCTCCAAGTTTCACAAAGTGCTATAGATCCTGTCACAACATCCCTTGCCAGGAAAGGCATTATTCTTATTTTATGGATTAAGATATAGGGAAAGAATGGTGCCATTGCAGAAGTAGCTTTAGGAATGTTGGAATATTTCTTGAATCTCTTTTACCTCCAGCTTTGGTTACATTAGTATGAAAATTATCATATGAGCTCTGAAAATATGCTGACTTTAATCGCAAGGTTGTGAATATAGCTGCTGTGATTAACCTAAAAACTAAAATGGCTCCTCCCAAGTGTTTTTATCATGGCATTTGCTTTACCCTGTAAAGATTACCTGTTGAATGAAATAATACTACCCTATTGTTAGTGTGTACTTTGTGACTATCTTGGCCTATTATCATGTGCAACAATAATTGCCACCTTAGGAGAATCCTATGGTTCAGGGCCAACTCTGCACAGATGTTTTTAAACCATTGTCCTGATGCATTTGATTGGCATTCAGTGTTTTGGGATATTTATCTTTGAAGGAACTTCCACTGTGGTAATTGGGATAGGTTCTCTAGGGTGAAAAAATCATTACAAGAATAAAAATAAAATCCATTATTCAATCATTTCATTTCACAGAACAAAAGAACATAAGATATTAGAAAAAGAGCCAAAAGATGCCTCAGAAGTCATTTTCCATTCCCCTAACTTTACAGATGAAATGGAGGCTCATAGTTACTAAATTACTTGGCCCAAGGTCAAATAAGTTGTAATTGTCAGAAGTGAAATTTGAACCCAGGTCTGCTAATTTCAAAGCTACTTCTCTTTCCACTACACTGCATTTTATCTTGTGTCCTAGGAAGCTTGCCTGTTGCTGCTTCCACCATAGTAATGTAGGATATAAGCTGCATTTAACAGAATGTGGGCCAGAATATTTCTACTGATTCTAAGCTTTCCTTATTAGTGTTATAGACTGTCATTGACCTAGTTAATTCTAGGAAAGTGAAGCAGATTACAAGAAACAGTTACCCTATTTGGTACTAATTGAGATGTATAGAAGCAGTTTTATGTAAGTATAATTAATCTATATTGAAGTTCTTATAGGATATTGCTGCCAAAACAACTAATGGAGTTAGTGATTTGGGTGCCTCAGTTCAGGAAATATGTAGTATAAAGGCTGATAAACATGAATAGTATTTGTCTAATTTTATTTTTCTAAAAAATGTTTTAATGGTGAAATGATTTGAAAGAAAAATAAGAATAAAGTTATTATGGTATCATCCTCTGACCTTTGAGTACCCAATATTGCCTAAAAATATTTTCTAAAAGGTTAGCAGTGTTTTAATAGCACATCTCTAAGTGTCATATGACTTAGCTTCTAGGTAAAATAAAAGATTTTGGGTTTTTTTTTTTAAGATTTTGATTTTTTAAAAATTGTTTCAGTAAAGTTGAAGCCTCAGCACCTTCATATTTGATATGAAATCACAGAAAATTAATATGAAATTTCAATTAAATTCTTAATTCCTCCCATGTTGTGGAGGTGACCCTGGGTTCTTGAAGACCATGTAGGTAGAGTGGAGGCT